ACAACGTGTTGAGCTAAACAAGTTCACAAAACTCCTTACGTCGTAGTAACATGATCCCAACTGCCCGACAACAAACTATCCACTGTGCTCTCTCGAGAGAAGCCAAGAGAGTCCATCTCAGATAAGATACTCTCATCAATCTCGACCTCATCCTGACAGAAAACTGTCGCGCGCCACGAAGTTATCCCCATACCTTCATTGGGTTCCTCCAAGCCGAGTCATGACGTTGAGCGAACTCACATGAGCGACAACCGCGCACGCCACAACGATCGATTGGAGTCCCTGGTGGTAACAGAAGCTTCGTGGAAGCAGGGTCGACTAGAGGGGATGCGAATAGTCTGATGATGTGAGGGAATTTTGGTATGAGCTGCCGGAATTTTTTACCCTCGTAAAAACAAGTCCGTCCTTCGGAGCTCCTCGAAGGAAGGCCTCTCATTTGGATTCGGCGTGAGCATCCGAAAAATCAATCGCCGCACTTCACGAGATGTTTTAAATTCATTCGGGACCTAGGATGAATATATTCGGGCGCACGCTACCGACGCCAGGATTTGTCAAATATGCATCTGTGCGAATGCGTCTTACCTTGAACACACCCTCGAGTATTTTCTTATACAATGATGGTGTGTGATGGTCTTCAAAAGGCAGCTGTCCACAAACCATCGCATATAATACAACTCTGAAATCGAAAAAAAATATCATAAAATTCTTCATAGTGCGTCGCCGATCCACTCACCCGACACTCCAAACGTCGCACTTGGGAGGATCATAAGGTAAACCTGCAACCATTTCGGGCGGAGCGTAGCAGGGCGACCCGCATGCGGTCTGTAGAGGCTCCCCCGGATGGAAGAAATTAGACAGGCCCAAATCGGCGATGATAATATTGTGGTTCTTATCGAGGAGTAAATTCTCGGGCTTGAGGTCCCTGAGGACAGACGGAATCTTATCTCACCCAACCTCTAGTGAATCTTCCACGGTATAACCTCAACAATGTTGTAATCAAATGACCACACAGAGAGTTACTAGACGAAAACACCAATTCGTGATGGCCTCACCGAAATCTCGAGAACGTGGGTTAGTGGAAGTAACCAACTCCCTCACTCAAGAAAACTAACGTCAGATCTTGAAGGTTCTTAACTTGAGGGTGACTCTGTGGAGTTGAAGTAAACCTCGCATCGCTTCTCATCTCTCAGCGAAATGATCCTACCTTAGTTTTTCATCGCTTCAAGGTGAGTATATAGTTAATGGAAGCGGCCCCATATTTCAGAGGGGAATCCAATCCCATAACGCGAAAGAGCCGATTAAGGCGTGGGCATACCCCTCCTCCCTGGACTCACCGATGAACCACGTTCCTCATATGCAGGCTGCAAACGCCACTGATTATTTGCCTGATGAACTTACACGCCTCCGACTCGCTGATCTGAGACAAGTTGAATAATATACTATATGAAGATCCTCACACAGGTTCAATGATACTGTTTAGTGCAAGTGTAACACTAGTCCAGTCCAGTGTGTATACAATTTATCGTATAATATACGATCTCCTCAGGAGAGTCAACGATTGGAAAAGAGCGATGTTGTGATAAACGATAAATCGGTATGCGACTGGCTCAAGCTTGGAAATTTTGAAGCAAAAAGAGACATAACAAATATTCGAACCAAGAACCTCTCGATGGGAAACCCAAAATTACACCGCTCAACCACAATTCTTTTCTTGTGTTTACCTTCCCATTTTCGACAATGTAGTCGAAGAGCTCCCCTCCACTAGCATACTCCATCACCATAAAGATCGCTTCAGGAGTCTCCATTATTTCAAACAGTTGTACCACATGCGGCGATCGTCGGAGGGACCGGAGGATCCTATAACCACAACCATTGCTCGACCGCGCGCCACGAAATTCCCCAGCCCCACCTAATCTCTCTAGTTACTCGCTCGGCGTCTGCTTGCGTAACTATCCTCGCCTTTTCGAGTATTTTCACGGCCACTCGTTCGCCCGTTGCAACGTGCGTTCCTAAGCCGGTTTCCTCTTCTATCCATTTCTGATTTTCACATCCCACCTAATTTAACTTTCCCAAAAGTCCCCTCCCCAATCGTTTCTCCCAAAAGGTAGTGGCCCGAGGGCATCTCCGGAGTCGGTGAATCAGACATGTCAGCAAGTCGGAGTTGGAACCGACTGGATTTTACGCCAAATCGATTATAATGGCGGGCGCGAAATTAAAGGGACATGATCGAATCTCTGTGATGTATTACTTCGACAATTGATGAGTAATCGTCTCGGCCACTGCCTTCGAGCCCTCTGGTTCGCCCTTCTACTCTTGTGGTCCACCGTTGTGGCCAGTTTGAATACTATCAAACGAAAGATGATTCGG